TTCACTGAGTTACGCAAGCCCCTTCGCCACGACAAGGCAGTGATCCATGAAGGGGATCATAATATATAGGGTGTACCAAAAGTCAGGCCCCATAGACAGTTTGTTATATGCATTACATTAAATGTGTGAATGGGTTGCCATTTTCTTCTAAACACTTCCATACTTGTTTGACACATGACCTTTGAATGTTCCTAAGTACAGTAACATTTTCACTGGAACAAATAATTAAATAATAAAACATATTGTGAATGGCCTATGGGGCCTGACTTTTGGTGCACCTTGTAAATTTAGAGATTGAGCAGAAAGTTTCCACACCTAAAAAGCTAAGAGGTGCCTTCTATTTCGGTCAACCTCCTCTTGCCTTTCATACTGTCTTCCCAAAATTATGTCCCTTCCTTTTTCACTCCTGACCTCTGAATCTCCTTTTCTGCCCACCACCCCCAAAAACCTGTTGTGTTTTTTTCTATCTTGTTTCTCATGGGATCCTCCTGATCTTGCTCTTATTCCAGTCCTATCAGTCCAGTTACAGCAAAAGCAATCACATTAGTTATTTTATTGACTAAATAATTTAGTCCTGAAAGGATTTCCTTCCTCTTCCATTGCACATTGAAGGAAGAGGAAGAGGAAGGAAAAGCTACTGTGATCAGGTAATACGCCAGATAAACTTCCAAGTGCATTTTCAAAGAACAAACTGGGAGTAGCAACACAGTTAAAAGATATTAAAATATATTTCTCTGTTCTCATATTTTCCTTTAATGAAAGTCATATATGATGGATAAAGAGATACCATCCCTATTCGCACCACTGTAGAAGCCAAGAAAGAATTGACAAGTCTATGCCAAAAAAAGGCTTAATAATCTAGTAAATGGCAAAAAGGGAGATATACAGGTACAGGAAGAATATGCAGTTATTTTAATTATGTGTTAATTATTTACTTGATATAATTTACTGAGTAGGAAGACGAAGGTCCCCCCCCCCAATAATGTTCTGTGAATGTGGAGAAGAGTCTTATCCATCAAAAATAGAAAGCTATTGAAAAGAAAAGGATGAGCAAGAGACACAAACAGCTGCAAACATCTGTGCTGCAACGTACGGAGGACTTTGAAGATGCGCTCTTTACCTGAGAGGGGCTATTTGCCTGATATATAAAGTCCCGTGTCTTTCTTACATTCTTAAATTCAGGGTCATTTTCCTTTTGGATAAATATGATTCTTAAGCTTTCCTACAAGAGTGGATATGGTGAATAAGTAGTTGTTCCGCAAGCTTCTTGGAAACGGTGGGATTGGAAAGGATTTCAGTAAGTGATAGGACATATTTGGCATGTTCTGCTAAATAAGTACAAATCATATTGCATAGTGAAAGTGAAAGAGCAATTATTTCAAAGGAAGGACTTCTTTGAGCAACTCAGGTCTTCCATATTTTCCATTGGCATACCCTGATTACCTTAAAGCTTGTGCTCTAGGTTATAATAACATTCACTTTGATATAATAATAGTTCCACAAAATAATTACAGCAAGTCATTACCTCTTGTTGAGTGTTCTCTGTGGCTAGTAATAATAATATCACCATAATTATTAGAGCAAAAGTGCATGAGCAAAGTATTTTTCTAACTGAAAAATACATACTATTTTAATATTACCATTTAGTTTATCAACAGAGATTAGTTTTAAATTGGGATATGTTTCTATCCCAATTTAAATATCAATATCATTTGCTGAAAATAAATTTCAGTAGAGAGACCCAGTTTGGTCTAGTGGTTAAGGCCCCAGGCTAGAAAGCAGGAGACTGTGATTTCTAGTCCCGCCTTAGGCATGGAAGCTGGCTGGGTGACTTTGGACTCTCTCAGCCCAACTCACTTCACAGGGTTGTTGTTGTGGAGAAAATAGAAGGAGGAAGGAATATTAGGTATGTTCGCCACCTTGTGTTATTTATAAAAATAATAAAGGTGGGATAAAAAAATCTAAAAAAACCCCAACCAGTAATTAGTTCATTGGAAGCAAAAGACAACTATTACACAAGCATTTATATACCAAGAGGTAGAGCAAAAATGTACTATTGGCATTCAATTATACACATGGAATCATAAGGACCTGCCCACTGGAACAGCACCTCCCCAGAGACACATTCATCCACCCCAAGTCTTGGGGAGAAGGGACGGCCTGCTTTAGAATGTCAGTGCACCTCATTCTTCAAGACCCCACACTCTGCAAGCCAAGGAGATTCTACCATTTGAGGAATCTTAACCTAACACCAAGCTTCACCTTTTATATCTTGGGACGATACTATCAGCTTCAGAACCCTAATTCTCCTGAAAATTGCTGTTTGCTAGTCTGACCTCACAACAGGAAGATATCTGTGGCAATATTATCATGGGTATGCAGTGCCAGTACTTCTGCCTTATCCTTCTCTCCAACTTGTACCAAACAAAAGAATTTGAGCGTATCAAAGTATTGTCTCAGATTTATTATGTGCTCTTTTATTTTAAGAAAGCTTCTATAAACTATTTTTGAATGTTTTGCACATACAGCAAACGGAATACCATATTTCCATTAAAATTTCACGATATGAATTATTTTTGTAGATTTATGAGGGGGGTTTTGCCACACGTTTTTAAGAGAAAATTAATATTGATCATATGGTGGCTGTAGCAACATTTGGCGGCGCCTCATAAGAGGGAGAAGACAGACATCATGTTGGAACCATTATTTTATTTTATTTATTTATTTATAGTTATACAGCTTGCTCAAAGGGCCGTGTTCATGAATCCTTCCTAGGGATGGATAATTCTTATCCTCCTGAAGAGTTCGTGCCTACAGATGACTCAGTGAACAGGATTCAGACAAGTATAGTGCCAAGGAAGAGAAAAAGAAGTTCAGTGTATATCTTTCATGCTGGCAAAAGCATTAAAAGATTATTTTATTCTTCAGAAAATATAGAATGAGTCTGTCTTAACCCTTTGCATGGAGGCTATTTTAGTGTTTCATGTAAATCTTGGTTTGCACAGCAGCAGTAACTTAACACAAACAATTGGGAACAGAACCTCAATGAGCCCATTTTATTTTAAAGCAGCCATCATAAGTGCCTGGAATTTCCCCAAATCGCAGTTTTTCATTACAAATGCTTTGTGATCCTTTTTCAGATGGTCAGACCAATCCATTACCATCATTCCTCTAGTTAGGGAGCCACTGAGTTCAACACTTACGCCAATTACTGTGACTTCCGTGACAAAGTTCTCATCGATGGCAGCAGCCATAGCATAGGAGTCGCAAGAAACGAAACCTAAGCGAGACTTTGACATTTTGAAAGAATGAGCAAATATCTTCTTCATGAACATGGCTTTCTCAGTATTCTGATTCACCCATTCATGGTAGAATTCCTAGGAAGGAAAGAATAGTGCTGAACATTAAAAACTAGCCAAATAGTGAGTTTGTGAAAAAAAATGGGAGATCAATGGGAAATCTAGTCAGCTATTTATGACCACATTATTAAACTTTCTCATTACAATGTTGAAAATAAATGGAGATGGGAATGTGGGTCATGAATAGCATTCTTAGTAATAAAGAATGAAAGTAGATCATGGGGATCAAATTCATGCTTTTGGTGGGTAGCTTTTGTTTAGAAACACTGATGAAAGGTGGGAGACAATACCTAATCTGACATTTAAAATGGTTAAGACATTATGGCCAATTTATCATTTAAAGACAAAGGTTAGTGCTAAGAGATTTCAAGAGCAACCATCTACATCATGAGTTCTTTGCTCTTCCCTGGGCAAAAAGTACAATTTGGATAAGATTATTTACAGAAAGGCATGTTCATTAAGAATAGGAAAGTTTCTAAAAAAACCTTTCCTAACATACACATGAGGTTTTGCTCTTTTGTATAATAATTTGTTATTTATTATAACTTTTGTTAAAAAAAAAAAGACTTCAATTTTTTATTTACATCTTTTTTCTGAAAGTACAATATTGCCTAACGCATAAAAATACAGGCGTATTTCTTTCAAAGAGATATCCAGTTGTGTAGCTACCTGAACACATCAACTAAGTAGAGCGAGCCTATGCAGCCTATATTAATTGACCTAGATATCTACACAGAAGTAAACCCCACTGAATTCAGCAAAACTCACTCCCGGTATAGACAAAGGATTAGAAGACTATCTTACCCAGGACAGCGAGCAGGCACAGGTGAACTCCCAAGCTGCAATATACATTGGGCAGGTGTACTCATTTAAGACAATGTAAGCAGCTTCAGGGTCAGTTGCAAAATTGAATTCTCCACACACTTTAATGTTTCCTTTGGCTAAAAGGAGCAAACAAACAAAAAGTTGCATTAGAAGAGCTATTTCATTATTGCAATAGATGCATGGGAGCAAACCTATGTATTCTGTCATATGTAAACATCATTTGAGGGACCGCCACTCCCTGATTACATCTGCCTCTCCCACCAGATCCAGCAGAGAGGGCCTGTTGCGGGTCCCATCGGCGAGGGAGCTTCCCTTGGCAGGTCCTAGGCAAGGGGCTTTTTCTGCTGTGGCCCCCACTTTATGGAGCATTCCCCCCCCCCAAAGTGAGGCTGGCCTCATCCCTTTTAACTTTCTAGAGGTCCCTCAAGACCTGGTTGTGTCAGCAGGCCTGGGGACCCCAGGGGACCAGCGAAATATTGAGATGGCTCCCGTGTTATTAACACCTGGTCTTTGCCCAATCTTTTTTTATTTTGTTTTAGTTTTGTGCTTTTTATAATTTTAAAGTTTTTAACATGGATAATATTAATATTGATTTGTATATATTGTTTTTAACTTTGTGGCACACCACCCAGGGTCACTTGATTGTGAGATGGGCAGCTATATAAATATGACAAATAAATAATAAATAAACATCATGCTCATATAAAAACACATTTCACTGGCAATGTAGATTTTTGTGGCTACTGTAGCTGAGTTGCACAAATCCAGACAGCTACTTATTTCAGAAATTGAAGATTCATCACTTACATAAATTTTCTTGCGCATAAATTGTAGATCGTTCATCTAATCATGCATGAATGACATTCCTAGACCATTTAAGTCGCAATCTAGAAAATATTACGATAAATCTGAAACTGTGGGCACGTAGATTTCTTTGAACTGTTTCCTTATAAAAGCGTTCACTTTTGCAAATCTTTTTTAAAAATGGTGAGGTGGATTTCCTTTTCAAAAATGTGGTCTTCCAATGAGAATATTTCAAATGAAATTGCAGCACACACCCTGTCTCTGAAGATCTCTCGTGAAGGAGAATTCATCCCTTCATATGGCAGCTTATTTCACTGGCTGACAAGTTATAGAGTCAGGAAGTTCCTCCTGAATTTTAGTTCTGGCATCTTTCTTTGTATTTTAACCCACTGGTTCTGGTCCTACCCTCTAGGCTGGGGAATTCTGGGAGTTGAAGTCCACTCTTCTTAAAGTGGCCAAGTTTGGACAACACTGCTCTAGGCAATACAGAATAAATCTATTCCATCTTCTGTGTGACTCCATTTAGGTATCTGAAGACTGCCTTCGTATTTCCCCAGTTGTTTTTTCTCTAGGCCAAACATACCTAGATCCTTTAACTGTTCCTTGTAAGACTTGCTTTCCAGAACTTTCAGCATCTTAGTAACGTAGGAGACTTAGTAGCCTTATCTGGACTTTGTCTGATTTGTCACTGTTCTTTTTTGAATTGTGATGCCAGAACAGGGCACAGTTCTCCGAATGGGATTTGACAGGCTCGGTAGAACTAGAACAATTACTTCACATGGTCTGGACTCTGTGCTTCTGTTCATGCATCCAAGACAGCATATGCCCTTTCGGCAGCTGCATCACACTGTTGGTTTACATTTCTCTACATTCAGTTTCACCCTATTCATTTCAGTTCACACCTCAGGCCTATCTAGCCCTTCTTGAATCTTCTTTCATTTAAAGTGTTAGTCACCCCTCCCAGCTTTGTGCAGTCTACAAACTTGGTAAGACTCCCCTCAACTTCCTCATCAAAGTCTTTGATAAAAATGTTAAACAGCAGCCCCCAAGACAGAATGCTATGGCATTCTACTCAATACTTCCCTGCAAGCTGAAGTGGGGCCATTGATGAGCATTCTTTGGGTAGAGTCATTAAGCCAACAGTGTCCATCTAATAGTAGCATCATCTAGCCCATATTTCACCATTCCATGAAGGGGAATATCATAAGGCATTCTGTCAAAAGCTTTGCTGAGGTCCAGGTACACCATGGCTATGGCATTCCCCTAATGTAGTCATTCTATCAAATAAGGAGATGGAGTTAGCCAGGCATAATTGGGTTGTGACATCCACATGTATCATGAATTACCTCTTTGGATAATTGCTATCATCATTTATTTCACTTTATCTTATTACTCAATAACTGAATTAAAATATTATTTAGGATGCACTCCTTTGCATACTTATTTGGTTAAAAGTTTGAATCAAAGCAATCAGATTTAGTCTGAGCAGCCAGAATTGTATTGCACAATTAGGTTTTTTTCACAGAAAATGATCAAACAGGTTAAAATATATTTTAAGTACGAAGGGACAAATTATGCACATATAAACATGTCCAACAGGTCCTCGAGTTCACTTACATTCAGTATTTCCTCCCATAATGAACACATTTTTAAGTTTTTTGGGAAGTGATGGGTCCATTTTCACGGCTAGGGCTATATTCGTCAGTGGACCAAGAGCAACAAGAGATACCTAAAGATAAATTTATTTATTGAATATTATTAATAACACGTAACCACTAGACTCTTTCTATATTAATTTCTCTGTGATTAATTAGGCTTCACTTCTTCAGATCAAACTGTTGCTACAGAGACAATATATGGTCATTTTTTTGTCTGGCTGGAAATAGTATAGTAATATAAGTAAATCCTGAACAGAAAGTAAAAAAGTATCTTGCCACACCCAGAGGGAATCTACTTTTATTCCATTAGGTGCAGCCTAGTTTTGTCCTTGTTATGCTGCCTCTGTTTTTACTTTTTAGGTTTCTTATCTTAAAAGTAAGGCTACCTGATCTTCCATATCTACTTTTTTGTTGCCATTTACTGGCCATGTAGATTTTTGCAGCCCTACTAAAAATGTTGTGACGGCATTAACAGATCCTGGAAACATGGAGGATGGAGCAAGACCATTACCCTATTACACATTTATGATAAATATTTATGGTACCTGTACCATCTCACCTGACCTGGTCGCTCATTGGCTATTCTTAATATTGCAGTTACAGCATTTTCTTTCTGCAGAAGGTCTATTCCTGGAGCATTAGGGTCTGGAACATCACCCAGTCCATCTTTACCATGAAACAATGCCCCTGAGACAGGTCCACCAAGTATAGGAGCAGAAGCCCCAGGATAAACTGGAATCTATATAAGATATGATGCCAATGTAATGTGATTTTAAAGAACAACCATTCATTCCCCTGAAATTAAATAACACTGTCAAATAATTTAATTGCTGCTTGGGTCCAGCCCTCCACTTTTCTTTTTATTTCAAGCAACCCAAATTCACATAATTTATCTTTGCTTATTTTATCACATTTAAAATCTTTTGTATATCGGTGTGGAAGGCAAAAGAAAAAGATTTCATTTTGTATAAACAAACATATAAAACTGATATGTGAATGCTTTGTCTTGCTGGGCCTCTATACTTCTTTCCCTCTCTTTTGGACCATCCACTCCTTCTGAAAGAAAAGCACCTTCTTCCGTTTGGCTGCTGGACTCTGTCTGCTGGTGGTTGCAGAGCAACAGAACACAGGTCTCCTCCGTTCTCCCACCCCCCCACCTCCTCCCTCACCCGTGTCAAGGTTGCTGCTTCATTGGCACCTCTGCTGTGCTGACGCTGGGGAGGAGGCTTGAATGGGAGGGAAAGAAGGCAGCAGAGGGGCCTGCAAGTTTGTGAAGCAGCCCGCTCTTCCACAATCTGGAAAAACCTACATGGATTGGTATGGAACTAAGCAAACAAATACATTAAAGATTCCACTTCAAATCAAAATGATGCACACACCTAATAATGAGTAATAGCTGGTAATAATTCCTACTGCAAACAGTGAAATAGGCTTAACTCCATCCAAGAAATCATATGTATAGTTCAAATAGCCAGCTCAATGTCTTTTTCTAGAAGGCAAGCAACCACTTTTTGAAATCAGTGGTGCAGCCGCACTTCTGTTATGTATAAAGTGAATCTTACATGTAAACAAATACACACCAGACTCACATGCCAAGACCTGATTTTGTGAGTCCCATATTCAGGGCTATGCAAAATGTGTTGGAAAGATTATTCAGTTGGAGCAATTACCTCAAGCTTATTACAAACTTGTAACACACGGAGCACATTTCTACATGTATTTTCCAACAGGGTGTTCCCATAAGTGCAAGTAATCCCCAGGACTTCTATGCTGGGATTTCCCAGAGCCATCATTACAGCTTGAGCATCATCAACACCACAATCAGTATCAATCAACAGAAATTTCTTCATTTCAGAAATACCTATGGAAAAGAAACGTTAATCATTAAAAAGATAACCTTTCTATCAGCTGTAACCAGTGTTGGAATATATAGATATTGGAACCTTTGGATATATAGGATACCAAAGGTTCAGTGAACCAGATAAAGTCCAGGTTTGAACAGAATGTAACTTCTTTGCAGGCTTGCCAAGCAAATAAGTTTCACAAGTGATCATGATGAATGTGGGGTTTGACAAGCCATATGATGAATATTAAAGTTTAATGAAATACATGCACCCCATTTGAACATACTGGGGCAGAGAGAGTGCAATCATATGCTATGGTGGACTGAAACAAGGACATGCCAGAAACCAAATCAAAATATAACTGATGAATAAAAGTAACAAGAATCAATAGACAAACTCGCATGACTTGAAGCTTCCCAGGAACAGGTAGACCCCTCCTAAATTGCTTTCTGACTCTAAGAATGCTCTGTGGTACAATTGATGAAAACTGACTGGTCAGAGTGCAACACTTTTAGGTTATAAAGTGAGAAACTACAAGGAGAATAAGTTGGCTACGTGTGTGTCGAATGTAAAGAATTAGTTTGTTGCTTTCTTTCACTAACTTTTCTTTGCTGGGAACTGTTCCTGGAAGCAAGGAGCTACATGGCAACCATTGGTAACTAATGTCGTCATCATCATCATCATCACCATCATCATCATTATTGGTGGTGGCACAGTCAGCCAGATGTTCAGACTGGATTTGGCATTTTTATCTACCTATTGAGTCCTTCCAAGGACCTGGGATAGGCAGATGTTGTTTGATGGTGTTAGAGGTATCGTCGCAGGATATAAGCTACTCCAAGTAAAGCTGCCTTTTGCAATTGACTGATGTTGATTTTGTCAATGCCGATGGTGTTCAAGTGGGCTCCAGATGTTTTGGGACTGCACTATCTTTGCTTTCTTTTGCCACAGTCACTCTATTTCTATTTGCAGGTCTTTGTATTTGTGATTTTCTCCAGTTCTTTCTCTTCTATTCAGCTGTCTCAAGGTATTCCAATGTCCACTATCCAGACTTTTTAATCTTTTTTATCAACAATTGTTAAATCTGGGGTGTTATGTGGCAGATATTATATTACTATTACTACTACTACTATTATGATGATGATACTTAGTTAGAAAAGCCATGTTCCTTATCTTTTCCCTCTGAACAACCAACAGGAGAGGACTGGAGGGATAAAGGGATGACACTATAAGCTAAATGTAGGAAAGCCCAATTTATCAACTCCACCATCCCATCCCCACCCCATTCAATTGAGAGAGCAAAAGCAGCATGAATCATAACTCAGGGTACATTAATACTGATATCAGATACCAACCACTGTTCTGATTTTTTCTTCTTCTCTTTCTACACAATCAGACCAACCCACAAAGGGCTTGTGCCTAGTTCAGAATATGAGAGGATTACTGACATGTCTTCCAATGTGTGTTGATTGTTAGCTACATATATAAATAAGTTTGGGCCACATACGTCAACATTACCTTCAAGGATAGCAATTCCTTACACATTTCCACTTCATTTAATTCTATTTCTGAATAGATATACACAGGATTGCACTGTTCAGGTTGCTGGTTTTCCTGAATGTTGGAAGAACCCCAGTGGATATAGCCTTTCTTTATCATTACTATGCTTTAAAATTAATTGGCATGTCACCAAATGAAGTACTGACTGTTACTATTGGTGGAATTCATAACAAACATGTTACACAAGCAGGTTTCTCCTGTCATGGATTATATTAATGAGAAAGCCACAAGACAGAACACTGATGAACATCAAGAAGGTGAAACGTAGGGTTATATACAGTAGGTGTTGAGTATGGACTTGAAAATTACAGTTGGTTGAGGTTGGATTAATAGATGATTTTGACTAACAGTAGATTAAAGTGTTTATGGTGGCTGCTTTCAGTGCTTTGATATGGTGAAATACAGTATGAATTTTACAAAATCAGAACATTTTGGTATGTTTCTATTTATTATTGTATTAATTTGTAATCTAACTAGACTGAATTTCTGAAACATCTTAAATTTTAGGATTTCTCCAAAAATAAAATATGAAATAGGTGTTTGTTCTTCTTTAGTAAATGCCTCTCATACGCCTGGCAAATGATTGGCAAATTTGCACTGTTAAGATTCCATGCGATTTGTTCTGACATTCTTATATTCTTCTCCAAAATTAGACCCATTTTCCAAAATATGGAACAAAACAAATACAGCAAAGCTGTAAATAAGTTCTAGTGGAATTTATCTATCTAACTAAAGTATGTCATTCTTCTAGATAGCTCATTTCCTTTCAAAATGCAAATTTAATAATTTCTTATGAAGCTAACATTTGCAGTGACAATTCATAAAAGTCAAAGCAAAAATATTGGATAATGTTTATACACACACACACACACACACACACACACACATATACATATACATACATACATGTATTGCAAGGCTGGGCCTGAAAAGCAATGAGTTTCTACCTTTCTCTTCCAGAAATCCTGTTGGCTTTATGCATCCTGGTCTCCCTCCCTGCCTTGGAACAGTGGCTTTGTACTACTTTTGCTATCATTACCTAGCTGTGTAGGGGAGACCCTTCCCCATAACTACAGTCTGTGAGAGAGACAAGAACCCCATAGCTTGTACCAGGAAATCACAGAATTACAAGAATGATAAAAGGGAACTATGGAAGTACACATATCCGCACCCATTCCCTGTTCGGAGTCCAAATATATAATAATTTTTAATTGTAAATTAAACTTTATTAAAAATAAGAAAATGTGTAAAATTTTCCTTTCCCTTTAAAAAGTCTCTTGGAATGACAGTGATTGCTGGAGGAAATACTCCTATACAGCTGCTAAGATCATAGGCAGCACATGAAAAATAATCTCCCATAGAATGGTACAAAGAAGTAGTAAGATTGCAGAATAGATGGTTTATTGGCCTGCTCTTGTGAAAGCACCCAGAGATAATGAGGTTCCAAGAGTCCTAAAAAGAACAGAACTACAGAAATCACTGAATATATGCAGAGAATATGAAGATACACAATCTCATCCTGAAGCATATTATCCCATCTGAATGTGGATTACAAGCTCTTCAAATCAATTCTTGCCAAAAGCCTAAATGGTTTTTTTTTTTAATTGAAATGATACATCCTGCCCAAACAGGCTTTGTCCCAAAAAGATATGTGAGACATAACATTTTAAATGCTTTTGATAAGGTAAACCGGAAAAACTGAAAATTGCTCATGATTTTTTTCATCTTGAAAAAGTCTTTGACAATCTGGAACAGATCTTTTTGTTTGCAGTTCTCAAAAAAAAAAAGCACTGTGGCCCTTATTTTTTTTTTACATGGATACAGCTGCTAAAGATAAAAAACTAAAATTACTGTATCATGAATGGTCTTACTTTGCAGCAACAGACTATACTGAAGGGAACAAGACAAGAATGTCCTCTTTCTCCTGCATTTTAATAAGCATTAGGCTCATTGGCAATCCAAACACATTCAAAAAATAGAAGCTGAGGAATCAAATTAGTTACACCAGATCATAAATTGAAATTATCTGCTGATGATATTGCACTAACAACTGCTCAACCTAGAGTCTTCTTAACAATGTTGATGGATCGCATACAACAATATGGCTTGGTGTCAGGCTACAGAATCAACAAAGAGAAAACTTAGAGGTTGTTGTTATTATTATTTTATTTAAATGTATTGGCTGCCCAACTCCAATGGATTCCAACAGTTGATATGGAATTTGACAGAGGATGAAAAGCAACTTGTATATTGACTAAGAGGCTTTAATATTACTGCTAAAAAGATCAAATATTTAGGATTTAAAACCAAAAACAAGAAGGATCTATTTAACAACAATTATTTTTGAACCTGGAAACTACAGACAATAAGCCCAAATGCTAACTTCTCAGAGGTATTTAAGTACCTAACAAACAAGACATATTAAATAAACCAGAAAACCCTGATGGGGATTTCTAGCTGAACTTGGGTACCTACAGAATATCTACTCAAACAACAATTTCTTGAATCAGAAGTCCTTCTTGATTCAGTGTTATCTTGATTTGCTTTTAGGAACTTTTCTGGAACATCCAAGCTTATGTTCCAAGGTTCTGAGGAGATGGTATGAACCAGCCTGTTTCTTTTAGTCTCCCTTCCAGTGTTTTTTGGCGTTTCGTGCCATGGAGTTTCCCTGCTTCCCTCTATGAGGCTTGGGTTTTTAAACCACTCCTCTGGGGAGGCTTCCACTTTGTCTGACCTGGGTTACGTCCAGACCTTTCTACCTTGCCCATGCACACATGCTCTTAGTCATTGCATACATATTTAAATGAAGCTATGGATTCCATGTCTGGGAATTCATTATCAAGTTTGAGATGGCTGGAGTGAGCAAAGATAGTGAAGGGGAATAGGGAGGAATGCTTACCTGTTCCCTACAATGCAAGATGGCAAATGTTAGTTTATTAAATTTGCAGTTTGAAAGGAAATTAGCTATCTGAAATAAACCCAGTCTTGAAGTAGGTACTAAAGTCCAAGATACTTCCTCAGTCAGTGATTTTCTTTGCTGCCTCCCCAAATGTCGATCAATTCTCACTTTTTTTTTTTGTCTTCTATACTTAAAGTTCCAGTCATATAATTTTCCAGGCCAGGGCAACAACCCACCTCTGCTAAAAGCTTCTTTCCAGTATTCCCTGGCTATTCCAGAGTTTGGAAGGTGGGGATGGTTCTGGAGAGGAAGCACATAGCTCAGCGCCCTTCATGCTCCTCTATACTTGACAGGTGTTTTTGAAGCTCTACCACTATCTACATCTTCATTAGCAGGTCAGCTGTCTGCAGGGAGACCAGTGGGCTTCCTTGTGCAGTCAGTTGGCCACTGTGAGAACAGGCTACCGGACTAGATAGCCGAGGGCCAATCCAGCAGGACACTGCTTATGTTCTCATGGGAGATAATTGCACTTTATGATATCTAACTAGGAAACTAGCACCCAAAGGACTGCACCTGTGTGAGTTGTATTAAGGACTGGTAATAGACGCGCCTCTTGAACTTCTGCCTGCTGTGCAGCTGCTATTCTTGATACCAGAAGGTATCAAGCGGCTAGCACTGAAGGTGTTACCAAGCCGGGTAACGAAACGTTTGCAAGAAAACCACCAAGCTCAGAGAACCCCAGGGACTCCGCAGAATAGTTTTAAACGCTCCGGTTCATTCTAAGAAACCTTTTGAATTTGGTCCAGTTATAAACTTTAGGACAACTATGATACGGAGCAGCGAGGAGTTTGAAGGAAAGAAATCAGCAGGTTAAATTTGGACCATTTGGAATATTTAAGAATATCTGCCTAAAATCCAAGACGAGGAATTTGCTTTTTTTTTAACCGCCTTTCGTTTTTCACTAACAGCCGCTTTGGGACACACGAAACTGGTCTAAAAAGCGGGGGGAAAGATGTTAAATAAAGGAAAAACGAACAAGTCCGTGGACAAGCGAACCTGCCGGAGCGGTGACAGCAAAGACGGCGCCGGAATCACAGCCACGTTCCCGCGGGCGGAACTGAAGAGAGAACGAGCGCCCTTGAGCGGATTGGCCAATCACAAGCGGCCTAACTGGATGCTGCCGCCGTAAATCGCGTCGTTGTTATGGCAGCCGCGTTCCAATCCAATCGTCGCGTGTGTGGGCCCGCTTCAAGACATTCTGGAAGGGAAGCGGTTAATCGAGAAGCTTGATGCCCGCAAGAGGCGGCCTCTGTGCCTTGAGGCGGCTGAGCAGGCCAAGCACTCCCAGCGCTTGGAGGCTCGAGCTGCAGAGACGCACAAAGACATCTTTAGCCGTGAAAATCCGCCCGGCAGTTGCATTGCTGCCTGCAGTGTAGCGTCGAGGGTGCAACCCCTTAAAAAATAGTCGGCCCAGCCGCTGCGGGTGGTGGTGGTTGGTAGGGAGGCTTCCACCGACGTTGCGAAAGGCGCAACCGGCAACGCTTTAACATCTTCGGTGAAGCGCAACGAGGCCTGACTTCGGAAAAATAACGGATGGAGTACCGCTTCTCCAAGGAGAGACACGTACGGCTGACGTGCTGTCGTGCGCGTGGGTTTGTAAGAAAGCAGCTGAAGGAGACGCGAGGAGCAGCAGCAGCAGCTTCACTGCAATCGGGTCTCTTGCCGGGCTGCCTGCGCGAAATCCGAGGCCACCCGCGCACACGCCCTCAGGCACTTCCAGCGGCCCTCAGATTCGAGGGTGTCCCAGCCACAGCTCCTGCCCTGCCCGCGTGGCGCTAAGGAGGTAGCTCGTGCGCTGTAGCGCTATGCTCATATTTTATAGCTTAATCTATCGTATAATATACGCTTGCATATTATAGTTTAATTCAGAGACGTAAGCTTTCGCGCGGTGTAGCTCACATCAGACGCACGGAGTGGGTAAGCCCGTGTAGGCATTGAAAAGGGCGGTTACGCAGCTGCAGGTTACACGTGAGACAGATTACAAGTACCTCCTCAACTAGCCATAGTAATCTGTTAAAAGCCTGTTGTGTTTGTTGTCCCATTACATGCATTTTGAGTTTATGCTATTTGTGTTTTGATTTTAAATCTTGCTAGCTGCCCAGAGTCGCCATGGTGGGATGGGTGACCATATAAATCAAATAAATAAATAAATAAATAAATAAATTGTAGCTTGTAACTCTAAGGAAATGATTGTTCTGTTGCTCTGTAAGTGGCTCTGAAAGTATTATCGCTAAAGGGCATGGTAAAAATTGTTTCACTTTAAATAAACAAAGCTACCAGAAGCTAGTTTTATATAATTCAATCCTTCACAACTATACTAGTTGATTTTTTTTAAAAATGGAGAATTATCCAATAATTTTAAACTACATGCCATATATTTTGCCAGGTATAATGTAATATATTCCCTTCCTCCATTTCATTGTAATTTTTTTTCCTTAAAAGAACTGTAACATTTTTATCCTTACCTGATAAGCTCTGAAGTTCTTTCAGTCTAGATGTTTACTGTTTTTCAACCCTATGGAACTTGACCTGATCTGACATTTTATAAGAATGCATAGGTTAATATTTACCCAATGTACTGTTACAGTATTAATAAAGTGTTGGATAGAAGAAACTGGAAAAACAGTTAGAATCAGTAGTCTTAGAATCAAAGTTATGTGGAAGATAATGCAGTTGAAATTCCCAGCTTTCTATTTCACTGAAATGCAATGAAAAACATTACTCAAAAGTCAAGGAAAACACATTTTCATGATTCTCATTTACACGATTCTCATTTACACAAATAAGACACAGTCTGTATTAGAATGACATGTACTTCTCATCGTAGGTATGGTTAAAGGGATTACAGTAATCTCTAGAATTTCAAAGTAGGTGTACTACTTTGCAGCAAGGCTTAGTTTTGAACTTTTAAAATCTGAATAACCCAAGGGGAAAAAAAGCCTTTTCTCCCTGCTACTTTGTTGGACATGCCATGCTACCTTGGAAGCGAGCAAATAAATAAAAGTACTGCGATTGAATAATGATTTTTTTCCTATCCATGCTGTTTCCCTTCACTAGATTGTGAGCTCCGTGAGTCAGGATTGTCACATTGTTCCCTAAACCACTGATAGCTGTACATACCCCATAAGTAAATAAAATACTGAAAGAGGAAGAACAGGTTTGACAGTGATTTTTCCCTTTCTTTGGCTCTCCTTGAATAGCAAGCCATCAAATGGTACTATAAAGTATGTTGAAAGTCCGTCAAACATAGCTTATTACTATACATGGGGTTAGGGGGGATAGAGTAAGGAAGGGTGTTTTCAAAAACCACACGTTCAAAACTGTTATTAAGTTGTTAAACTCATATCCCCCCATTTCTTTAGAGGGTCAACATGGGGTAACATGGGGAACTCTTCATTTTATCCCCACAACCACCTTGAGAAGTAGATTTGGTTAAGAACGAACCCTAACTGGCCCAAAGTCACTCAGTGAGTTTCCATGGCTGTGGATGGATGAGAACCTGGTTTTACCAAATCCTATTCGAATCTTAACCCTAGACCATACTGGCTCTCACTTGCTTAGAACCAGTTATTTGATTCTGCAGAGCCTAATTCTTGTACCTGAAATCTCTCTTTAGTATCTGCAAAGAATACTGGAATATTAGTATATTTAAATCTTTTGAGTATTCTTGGAATCTGAAGATTTATGATACTTCAGTGTTGCCCTTAGCTTTGTGTTGATCTCATTTTCTACTATTGGATTTATTCTTTCTTAGTGCTTTTAAAGGCATACGATTTTATTTTGAATTTATTTAAATTTTATTGAAAACTGCCAGATTAGTATAAACACCACAAATAAATGCATCAATTATTTATTTTCATTGTAAATTACCCAGTGATTTGACCTAAACTGTAAAAAAAAAAAAAATGCAGTTTTCTTGCTTATTGACAATGGCATAGAAGTACAATACCACATACTTGCTAATACATGTGTTTTACATGTAAAATGATAAAAGCACAAATATACTTTTAAGAAGAAATAAAGAAGCATCTTCAAGACCAAGAGAAAGATTCTGGCATAAACTTTCACTGGCTATTGGTAGTCCATAAATGTTTATGCCAGAATAAATCAGTCTTTTCTCTAAAATAGATCATAGCTACCACTGTGCAAATTTACTAGTAGGAAAAGCTTAGGAAGTACAAACAAGTATAGGGCTTAAACCCATGACATAGTATTTTTTTTTAAAAAGTAGTCATCTCAGCATGCTTGTCAGTTCTTTATTTTTTTTTTTAATCCCTAAAGACTAGCACATTTACAGCGTACATGGACCGGGTGAATTAAGACTATACAAAACAGTAACCATATGTTTATGGTATGCCAATACTGCTCCAAACAAATAAATAAAATAAAATAAAATTTCAATGCAGAAAGTTTTAGGAAATACAACCGTGCTGGGACAAAACTGTTCTATTTTACAACAGCTCTACATATATAAATGAAAAGTTCAAAGGCAGCTGTGCGGTGGTAGCTTTTAGAGAGCATGTACAGAACAAGCTTGGCAGCAACTGTGTACCCTTTTAATACGTTTCATCTAAAAACTGTACTCAAAATATTAGCATGACATTCATACAATAATCCCTAATAGATTTTCTATGGCAATAAAACAAATATTTTAGGAAAGTCTGCTCATTTGATGTGTGATATCTACATAGATATATGGTTTCTTCATAGTTTCCCATTTTTTATTGAGTTATATTTATTCTCCTTCGGGGAAGCCTATTTAAATGTAAATCAAGCTATCTTTGGAAATATTATCTCAACAATCAAAACAAATGAAATCAGAATTTTGCATTTGTTTGTCACACGTGATATAGCATTGTACACCGGAGTCCTATTATCAGAAAGGGTGAAAGAGAAATAATCATTCATTTAGAGAATTTGGGAATTGCTTTAAAAAACAGTATAGTGTGAGCTTTTCACATTTGTAAATAAGTATGTACAGTACTGTAATTCAGAACGTAACAGAAAGATCTAACCTTACCTAGAATGGAAATAATGAAAAATCTGACCTAAACATTTCTCCCACCCAACCTGGATTAAAACTTCCATGGTATACATTTTGCAGTGCTGACAGTTCTGATTTAGAATTCTCTTTTCTGAAAAACATAAAGATTCTTAATGCATATGAGCTTTATGTTCACACCATTGGAAATAACAGCATAGCAGAGCTCTTTTTTCCCTTTACAAAATGAGGAAAAAAAACCGTCATTGCTTCCAGGAGATGTCTAGCGAAGGAGAATAATAATGTATTGTGCTGGTAGCAGTCCCTGTAATTAATCCTAACTACTTTTGCTGGCAACAAGTCTTAATATCAGACAAGTTAATACAATTGTTTCAAATCCAATATTCCTTCTTTCCAAGGCAGTATTTAAAAGCTGAATTATATTAAGTGTTTAAATATATTTTACACATAGTGGGATGGGGAGAGGGTGAACAGAGAAGAAATATTAAACAAGCTAACGTATATCAAAAGGAGTTTTTCTACCACATTTGGAGTTTTCCTGGTAATGTAGGTTTAACTTAGGCCACCAATTTTACATCTGATGTAGAGTTCTGGCATTCAATATATTATACAAGCACTATAAGCGATGAAAAAAGAATAATAAAATATAATTCAGCAGAAACACGTCTCTGGCTGAAGCATCATCCTGGGAGGAAGAGGAGGAGGGGGAGGAGGGCCAAAGCAGATTCCTCCTGGCTCTAGGAAGAGTAGTGAGATGGCATCAGGCCTCCCCATTCCTGCCCCTTGTGCAACGGCTGCCTCTGGAGGAAGAGACAGGAATGCCAGAGAAGTTCTCAGCGGCAGAGAGACGCCTTTGGCTACTTGGAACACCTGGCGCTGGAAATCAGGCTTGTTCAGTGCCAGCCGAGCTCAGGCTGAGAACGTTCTGTACGCGAGGTCCCACCCAAGTAGTTTGGAGAGGAACAACTTTTCATGACAGCCCGACCTTGTACTTTGTTTTAAATTGTTTTGCAGCTAATTCTGGATCGAGGGAAGCTTGCTTGGAAATCTCAACCCTTGTTGACTTCACTGCCTTGCCCTGTCAACCTTCGCTACCACTAGGAATTCTACCAGTGGTAGGTATAACTATTCCTTTGCCTGCTGGGTTTAAGACCTTAAAATAATGTTTCTCAAACTTGGCAACTTTAATATGTGTGGACTTGAACTCCCAGAATTCCCCAGACAGCTCCAGGAATTCTGGGAGTCCACACATATTAAAGTTGCCAAGTTTGAGAAACACTGCTTTAAAATGTCCAATTCAGTTACTGCACTCTGAGGGATGCAGACTGTTTATTACATAAATGAACGTTCATGCCTTCAATAAATATAAAGTACAAAGAAAAAAGGCAGGATAAAGTAAAACATTTGAGTGGCAAATGCATACCAGATTCTTTCTTTCTTGAAAATAATGGAGCCATTTCCCCCCTTTCCATTAAATGGCCAATAATGCTAACGTAAGTAAATCCCATGAGTATCAGTGGAATTTAAACATTTTGGGGTTAAATTCTTAGAATGAAAAGTTGAGAGTTTTTCGTAACCTGCGACACAACCTCCAAAGTCCACCCAAAGGGTGCTACTGAACCGTAGCTTTTCAGGCGATACACATTTACACTCACATATAAATATATACAGTGACTTATTAAACAAAGTTGTTATCACATATTAGTAGTCATCTGAGGGACATGCTACTCTTCTGTGATTGGAGCAACTGTAAATAGTTTTCAAGTGGTCCTTCATCTTACTTATAAAGTATGAATTTTTTAGACAAATAATGAACAGAGGAATAAGTTACCTGGAGGGCAATCATGGAAATTTGGATTCTGTTACATATTAATTCCTAACCAAGCAATAACTATTGTTAAATAATGTAGATAATTATTCCCCTTCTCCATCACTTCATTAACCTGAAATTCAAACTGTGATGTTCTGGAACAAATTGTAGATACTGACTTTTGAAATTAGTGGGTACTGGAAACATTTTATGTAAAACAATATTCAAAGTAGGAGATTCAACAGAAAAATGAGAAACACTGATTTCTGCAGACTAAAGTGCACCTAAATTCTGGATAGGATCTAGCAAGCAAGCATCTTAGGAACTTGCAGAATCCCAAATGCATGGGACAGTTTTTATATGCAAATAAGTTTGCCTAAAATCATTCTCGTCATCAAAAAAAGGGACTCAGAAGATCTGCCCTGCACGTCACTGTGCAATCAGCTGACACACACAAAGAAAGAAGGGTAAAGTGACAGTAATTAAAATCATGATGTGGAAGACACACAGACAATTCAGCCCAGGTAGTCTTTCAAACTGCAGGTGGAAATCCACTTGCCCATCTGTTTTGTAAATAGACATGGATACCTTACCTTCTCTCTTGATTCACTGTTTAGAGCTAAGTCATACATCACTAGATACAGACGGTGTTTTTTCATGCACAACTATCTTAGTTTTAAAAGGGTTGTTAAGTGTTGGAATGCAACAGGTTTCTTCCTCAACTGATATTATCACATATTCAATCCAGTTTCTATACCAAGTGAAATAGGGTTAGGTGTCAGTTCCTGGCTTCTATATTATAACTCTTTTATACAATAGTGTTCTAATAAATTTAAGTTCTTGACTTTATATTTTAATGCACTGCTCTGTTTTAAAAACTGAGCTTTTTCTTCTACTCGTAACAACACCTGTTGTACTTGTCAAAGCTCCTCACCTCCAATTTATTTACTATTTACAGCACTGAGGTTTTAAAAAGTATTATGAAAGTCTTAAATAAAATCAGTATAAAAATGAGGGAAACAGCTGCCTAATTCACAAATCCTCCACAGTCCAGGAATTATCTTTCTTATTTAGGCAAGAGATTAATTGTATAATATATGCAGGCATCTTACACTGGGCAATCATTACATTAGTTTCATATTATAATGATTCAGCATGTAATTGTTTTCTTCCTATGGAATCCAGTTTAACAAAATTACATGCTCAGTATTTTCTAATGAAACATACAAAAACATTTTTCTGTCATTGTTGTCAAAGTTCATATACTAAAGTTGAGTGTATTCACATATTTTAACGGAACAACTAATTACAAGACACAGTAATCCTATGAGTCAACTTTTCCATAAGTTCCTTCGGGAGGCCTGTAATACTTGGGGAAAGCCTTCAGCTGCAGGGAATTAAACGCATACTTGCGACATCCAACATTCTTCATTGTATTTTCTCTTCGACAGCCCTCGCTGGGGAAAAAGACAAGCACAGAAAAGGAAAAAAATGACAGCAGTAAAACAAAAACAAAATTGCAAGTATTTTAATTATAATGAAAGGAGTTGGCTATTTCATTTCAGTGAAACATTTGAATCGATAATTGAGTAACGGGCCACGGACGGTGTACATGAAACACAACATGCTGCATGAACTCTTAACAGCTACACTTGCAAATCTAACCGAGCAGCAGCAATGCATTCTCTTGGAGGAGAAGGGCAGACAGAGTAAGCAATCCTGCTAGCCCATTCTCGGAACCACAGGGCACAGATTGGCAGCATCACATCACTTCTGGAAGATTTCGGCACAGGAGAAGAAATGCTACAGCAGGAGCTATTGCAGCATTTCCCATTTGGTTCTGAAGTCTATGGCACAGCAAGACTGAACTCTACGCGAAGGCCATTATTATCAGACACACAATTACATAGGTAATCTGAATTCTCAAAATATACTTTCCAAGTTTCCTTCTTTGGTTTCTCTAAACAGAAGATGACAAAGGAAAATAAAAGCTGCAGAAGCAGAAGACAAAGTATACAAACATATGGCTGAGATAGAATTTATTTGTAAGTTAACAACTAAGGACAGAAACATTTAACATGCTCTGAGTATTAACTACAACAGTTTTGTTTCCAAGATGCATTGGGATGTCAGTTTATAATAATTTAGTCAATTATCAGGACAATGCAACCTCTAGTCAAATAAGATTTTAAAATATTGTATTGATTTCATGGGTATGTTTTGTTAATGTTTATTATACTGAAATATTCAGGACTTTAATTTGCTTTATCTTTTATGTATCACACTCATATTCTTACATTAATAGGACTAACTGGCTTCATTATATTTTAAATGTGTGGGTTAAATCGTTGATTATTTGGTATAGTTATTGTCTATAGCGACAACTATTTATATATTTGGTTTCAGCATCATTTGTACCATTGGATGTGTTTTAAACAAAGTCTCCAGACTTATGAGAGGAAACGCATGAAATAAAGTACACATGCATTTCTTGATTTAATAACTTATGTATATGTTTGTATGTATGTATATATATGCACACACATACACACACACACCCCCTATACGTACAGTCACATACAATTTGAACTCTAAAGCGCTCTAGTATATTTATATCACAAAATAAGGCAGAACAGCTGTTTTTTTCAAACCAGCCCCCCAAATGTATTTCCCCATTTACTGAAATCATTTGTGTATCATCAGGAAGAACTACACTGCCTGTAGAAAATTCTTACTTGCATGTTGTCACCTAGTGAGCTGGCTGTTCACCAACCCAGGGTTACGTCCTCACACACAAGACTGTGTTTATGTACTGAACTCAATTTTCTTGGGAAAACAGGTATGATCTAGAACTTATTTTCATTTGAGAGGCCACACCAATGCACGCAGTGGCAACAGCCACTGTTCAGAGTAAAGGATCTTGTTGGATAAGCAAAGGAAATGGTGCTATGGAAAAGATTATTATGTGAACATGCCATATAGCATGCTTAGATTTTGCATAAAAATTATCAATATATTGCTAATAAATTTGTCACAGGACTTGGTAGTTACCAAGAGGTAACTATTTGGTTGCCAGTCCTAACCGAATGGAACATTATTCTGTAATATCTACAGGAAGCTTCTCATACTTTCATTGTCTACCCTGCTGGTGGCAAGTGAAACAATCATACAGTGTAATTGATTCCTGTCCCTTTCGCTGGAACAGAATCATATACCTATGAACAAAGCAGCTCCTGTGCTACTCTATCAAGATCCAAATCAATCCAGTCAAGGACACACTGATGTCTTATCTTTGCAATACAATCTGGATGTGATGCAACAGATCAGATAAATAAGATGTAGCACAACCACATATTAAAGAATTTTTCTATAAGCCTTGGAGCTGCTTTTTAATACCCAACAAAGCTATTTAAATGCTCCTAAAAACATACACTGATGTTATAAATGCTACCTAGATGTGAATATATAGATCTTTGTTTTGGATGAATACGTGTTATAATGATAGAAATTAAGATAATTCTGTTACAAATTGAGCATTTAGGGTTCAGGAAGTCACAGAAATGTACTTGTATCTTTCACGTACCTTGAGATTTAAACATTGAGCCAAAAGAGCTATTAGTGCATTTTATGGCAATATTTAATGTAAATATTAATTAACATGTGATAGCATAGTATCACACAGGTTATAAAAATACTTTTCCAATGATTTGAATGGAATTACAGATGATCCGTAAGCTACTCTTTCTACATATTCTTTCTTTTTTTGACCCGGTAAGAAAGTAAATGTATAAATATATTGAAACTATTGCATGCAGCATACTGCTATTCAAGTTCATTTTTAAAGTCGGCATAATCTGTTGCAACAGATTTAACTATGAGAAAGGAACAACTCTGTGGTTTTGAGTATTGATGATTGTATTAGTATAGAAGTGATGCTTGGAAATCAAAGTAGAAAGATGCCTTAAGTAGGCATGTAGATAAATATGCTAGAAAGCCCCCACCCCCATTTTTTTCCTTACCACTTAAATATGAAAGGCAAGATTGAACTTTTTTAGGATATACAAAAACATTAGAAATTTTTTTAGTCATAGTTCCTTTCTCTGGACAACAAGAAACATGTGAAACAAAGCTGTATGTAGTTATAGAGAGATGGAGGGAATGTGGATTTGAATGCCTAAAATCGATGATACAGAAACTAATCTTCAGGTTGATTCAATCACTGAGGTAACAGGCAGCTGTCTGACTTACATCACAAGCACTGGAAGCTCAATGACAGTGTAAGCACTTAATACAATTCCTTTTCATAAAAGAATCAGATGTGTATTTACAAGTTTAGTACAATAGAAACAAAATTGTAAGGCATACTAATAATTATTCTTGGCAACAATGCTATGAGACATTTTTTGACAAATAGGTACCAGGTGGCAATATATATTCTGGCACTTCACTGGATTTTTGCGTGGTTTGTTTTATTTCACTTGCAACGTAATTTAGCCACCAGGTATGCAATGCTCAGAAACAGCCACACAATCAGTAAATTGGGGCTTAGAGCTAATAAAGGAATAGAGTAAAGAAGACTGGGATCTAGCCTGAAATCCCGGAGGGGCACCAGGCCACACAAGTTCTTCTGGATGACTACCTCCCGTGTTCCAATACTGTGAAAAGGAAGAGATTTGGGGAGAAAAGAAAAGAAACAGAAAAAGAAACACAGACATGCAATGTATGTATCAAAAGATAAAAAGAGAATCAAGATGGCAAAATAAAAGAGAACAAAATTGATTCAGGAAGAGGGAAGAAAATAAACTTTGAAAAATTCACAACAGAAAGTAGAATGTGTTAGGATAAAGAATAAGGAAATATGCCAATTTTTCAAAATAATAATAAAAGGCGCAATTACAGAATAAAGGAGAGAGAAAGAGAATAAAAAGAGAAAATAAGAAAGAATACTGTAGTCTACTGAAAATAAATACATGTATGTCAAACAAGAATGGTTTTCCATGTTCATTTTTCTCATTTGGCCAAGCGATGTTCCATGCGGCTCTGCCATGCTTCCACATGCTGCAAAGAAAGGGGACTCTGAAAAGCAAACTGAACATGAATAACCATTGCAGTATTTGACCCTTTCAAGAATGCTTCAATGCAGGGAGTATTGAATTAATTCAACTAACTATTAATGTAGAGCAGAAAACGAAATTCTTCCCCCTGAAGTAGGCTACCTCAGTTGTTTCTTAAAATGCATGTCTTCAACTCATTGGCTTAAGAACTATAATAAACCAAAAAGATCGAGCTGTTTCCCAGCCTAAAATATATCTTAAGAATGGGTGGAGAGCTTAAATGTTTTAAAAAGTAAATCTATCCTTTCCTTTGATCCCTGATTCTGACTTTATTCATTTTGTTATTTTAAATTTTCAGATATAAAGATACAGTGCCATATGCACACACACACACACACACACACACACAGAACTGAATAACTAGGTTTGTAGAGAAATATCTTAGGCAAGATAAACTATATGAAGCATTTATTGTGAGGGCTTCAATGAATTTTTAGAAAATTAGCATCTATTTAAATAACAATTTATTAAAAGATGTTAAATTAAAATCCTACAAAGGAAATAGTGACTGCTACACAGCTTTCTTCATACCCAGATCAGCAAAAGAACCTGTTTCTTTGCTTAAATTTTAATTTTTATATTATCAATGCAATGTCTGTATCTCCAGAAAAAAACTGTCTTTGTTACAAAAGAATGTAAAAATGTAGCATTTATTTTGTCTCAATTTTGTTACAACCAAATAAAAATAGATTTCCCACTACTAGATCTACTGCATAATTCATCCACATCAATTCTATAAAGTTTTATTTCCTAAATGCTCAAAGCATAAATGATATGACAGTTTTTTCTCAGATTAGTACTGAGCTAAAAAGGCTTGCTGAACACAACTGGTCCTTGACGTGATCTGTTTTAGATCAGACTCTACCACTTTTATTAAAATGTAGAATGTTATCAGAAGAACAGTTAATGAAATGATAAGAATTAATTTGAAAATACTTTCACTTATGTTAGATATTCTATATACTTAAGCTGCTGGCTCAATATAAAACAACTGCAATTCCACTTTATGGAATTTTCTAGTTGCTAGATAGGATTTATGGATTCAGAAAACAACATTTGCTAAAGTGAGATGACAGTGCAAGCGTGTTTTAAAAATAATAAATCATTGAAGGTTTAGAAAGGGTCAAATAGCAAAAACATATAGAAAGGATAAGAGAATTGAACGTTTGTGAGAATTTGTGAAGACACACAGAACATTTACATTCAGCAAGAGTGAATGTTGAAAGCAGAACTCTATGGTCATGTTAAACTACATGGTTAAAAACTAAAACTGGATTTCTTATCCTTTCTTGCTTCATATGTAAAACTGGAGCTTTCCAGTAGTGCTTGAAACAATATATTGGATTTTTATTTAAAACAGAACTGAAATCTGTGAACATGTCTGCTGCTTCAGAAAGCAGATTAAACGGATATGACCACAGTATGCCAGCAGGTTGTGATGGAGTTGTGTGCTGTATCATGAAACATTCATAATGACAATCTGCTGAAGGAGCAAACTATTGTCTTAGGAGTAAGCATAGGAAACCAATGCAACCTGCAGATGTTTCTCCTTAATTCAGCTGACGATTCTGCATTATCACTTCTAAGGAAAATAGCAGTCTTGACCATGTCAGTTATGAAGCTTTAACAGTAAAGCAGAAAGATCTACATGCTTAGCAATTCCTTTCTTTATATCTCAATTCCAAGGAGATTTTTAAAATGATTTCAAAGTCTGGATCTCAGAGTACTTTTTTACATATCCAGCAATGACAATGATATTTGTAAAGAAAAAGCTCGATCACATATAGTATCGAACACTCATCTGCAGTTTACAGGGCTCCGGGATTAGAAACAAGTAAGCGGCAAGCAAACTAGGTCTTCTTACCTCCTCATGCACTCAAGAGCCTGAGTGAAGACTTGTGGGGCCATTCCATGTTCATGCTGCAGTATGAGACATTGCTCCAGGGTCACTGACATGGCAGTCCGATCCTTGGCACTTTTACAGCTTGTAAACCGAACACCATTTAGTCTGCGGCAAATCTGGAAAAGAACGCTTGGTATTAACTCTACTGTAATGCAGGACAAAAAAAAAAGTTACTCCAGAATTACTAGGGGAATCTCATTACTGACATTGGTGGGATGAGACTGGAATTCAAGAAAGGTAGAAGTTACAGTCAGTCTTGAAGTATTTTAGATACAGATATTTGATTATGTGCCATCAAGTCGTTTTTGACTCTTAGCAACCACATAGACAGATCTTCTCCATGATGATCTATCCTTAACCTGTTCTTTCACGTCTCCCAATAGTGTACCATTGCCACTGTAACTGAGTCCATCCACCTTGCTGCTGGTCATCCTCTTCTTCTCTTTCCTTCCACCTTTCCCAGCATTAGAGCCTTTTCCAGAGAGCTGGGTCTTCGCATAATGTATCCGAAGTAGGATAATTTGAGCCTGGTCATTTCTGCCTTGAGTGAGAACTCTGGGATGATTTGTTCGATGATTTTTCAGGTTTTTTTCCTTGGCTGTCCACAGTATTCTCTGGAGTCTTCTCCAACACCAAAGTTCAAAGGCATCAATAATCTTCCTGTCCTGCTTCTTTAAAGTCCAACTTTCACTTCCATGGAGTGTCACAGGGAATACCATGGCTTGCACAATTCTGATCTTTGTAGGTACAGGTACATCATGGCATCTGAATATTTTTTCCAAGGCCTTCATGGCTGCTCTACCGAGTGCTAGTCTATGGCGCATTTCTTGATTGCTTGTTCCTCTACTGTTGACGGTTAATCCTTAAAAGAAGCTATTCACCACTTCGATATCTTCATTGTCAATTCTAAGGCTGGTTGTTCTACCTGTTGTCATTAGTTTTGTTAGATACAGATATGCTCTCCAGATAATGGAGGACAATTTTCAACACACACCATCTTTCTCCATGATTGTTGGGCCACTGAAAAAAAAAATTGCTCCTTCCAACATCTGTAGGGCCCAGATTGCCTACTTCAGCCATGGAATATAGGTTTGGGGGTGTCAAAATCTGCAAGATGGTAGGCGTAACCTCACAATGCATGCTCCACCCCTTTGCTACATGCATCAATGTCATGCCCAATTTCTTGCAAAATTTTAACTCCCTTGGGGACCTCACTGGTCAAACTGTAGCATAGCAATTCTCAGTGCCATCACTGCCACTTCTATGCAGTGCAAGGCAACTGGTAGCAGCAGCAGCAGCAGAAAATGGGCAGACTTCTCCCAGAGCAACATGTGCATCCAAGCTGGCAACAGTGTCAATAGTTTAACAGCATTCATTTTTTTGAAATTAGGTCTGGCAATGAGGTGCCTCTAACATCCCTGGATGATGTCCACAGAAACCACAAATTTAAAATATATGTACTTTTAACATCAAAAATAATAAAGTAGGCTTCTGGAATTCTTCCCACCCCTTTATCAGCAGTGGCCATTGGAGCTTTTGCCTTAACTTTTGTAATAAAGTACAGGTTGCATCTGTGTGTGTAAGTGCGCGCCTGCCCTTTTTCCCCAGATGTGGTGCATATGTGTTTCATATGTATGTATGCATGTATGTTTGAACATGCTTCTGCTTTTCCTTTGTGGCCTGTGTTGCTGTTTGTGTGTATGTGCGCAGTGCAATATACAGAGCAAGTGGCCAACATTCCACTCTGGGTCATATGACCAGGAGGGAGGGGTCTTCGACTGAAGCAGTCAGCAGCATGCCCAACTTGCTGTCCCATTGGGATGGACTGGGGGAAATTTTCTCTACAGGCCCCAACCACATCCAGCCCATTTTCAAACTTAATCTGTCTTTTGCTGGCTTCTCCCCCCACCCCTCCATTCAAGTCTAGCCCTGTTCTACTCCCTTTTCCGATAATTCAGACAGAATCCTGAGGCCCTTTAAATCATTTCCTGAATTTTGTTGGCTTGGAAAAATTAAAAATGGTCAAAATCTTACAAAATTATAGCCATTTTTCAATTAATTTTATTTTCTGGTCCCCACACTGAAATCATGCAACAGTGCCCAGAACTTAAAATGTTGCTAATCCCTGGAGGAAATCATGCCATGACAGAGCCAAATTTCAACATTTATTCATTTCTCTGACAATCTTAAAATCAGAAAACTAGAAGGAGGATAACTCTGGTTACTGTAATGCTTCATACCTTTTTGAACAAGGAAACATGACATGGCACAATGGCAGAGAATATGCAGGTATCTGCAGCTTTCTCAGCTGCTGCTTATTCTTAAGACACAGCATTGTCATGGGAGACAAGTGACAACATGCTAAGTTAACTTTCTTAAACCGTACCTCAGCAGCTTGCCAAAGAATATCAACATTCTTATTTTTTCTTGCATGTACATTCTGTCCAAGGAACCTCAACAGTTCAGGCAGGCACGTTTGACTCCGAGATCGAGGTAGACCTGGAAAAAAAAAAAAATACACACAAATTAAGAAATGCTCAAGAGCATTCTCTTTTCTATACTATCTATACCTGCATATATCATCGGAGAATGGCTAGGTCATGTACAGCAGCACAGGGTTATGTTTTCAGCAAAATCTTAGAAATTCAGTAGAAATCTGAACTACATCACACAAAACTCGTGGATCACGCAATGTTCTGTACTTCAGGAACTGAGACTATACATAAAGGGAATCCAGAAACCATTCTTACATATGTCACATCCATTGATCTGCTGCATCTGATACAGTGAGCTGCAGCTCATGAAAGCTTATGCTTTTTAATAAAATTTGTTAGTTGGAAAAAGTACTACCAGATTTCTTCAGATTTCTTGGGACCACCTATGAGGGTTGGGGGCACTGTTTTGTAGTACTTCCACTCCCTCCTGAGTGGGCAGCTTCAGCTGGTACTGATGGGGACAAAGAGGTCGAGTCCTTGAGCACTTCAGGGGATGCCCCAGGTTTGGCCTTCATCCCCATTCTTTTCAACATTTACATAAAGTCATTGGGAGAGATCATTTATCAGTTTCGGGTGAGGTATTATCAGGGGATATGCATAACATGGGCAAAATCTTCCTCCCAATCACAGTTTCCTCACAGCCCAGAAAGCCAGATAGGAAAAAGGGGTTTGGCAAAAGATAAGCAGCAATGGTGAAAGAGGAGGGTCCTGTACTCTAAACTGTACGTTCCTTGTACAGTATTGTTAAAGTTAAAATGAATATCCCTCTTCTTATCCACGACTGAGCATAGAATTTATTTACTCTCACAAATATGCTCTCATCGCCACAGGAAGCTTATATCTCAGCAGACGGCTAACTATTTAAACAAAACCAGCAGCAAATAAAACTAGAGTTTTACTTCTTCATTTTTTGTTTAGTAAGTAGAGCAGCCATGAAGGCCTTGGAAAAGATATTCAAATGCCATGATTGTCTACCTACAAAGATTAGAATCAAGCAGGTCATGGTATTCTCTGTGATAACCGAAAGCTGGACTCTGAAGAAGCAGAATAGGAAGAATATTGATGTTTCTGAACTTCGGTATTGCAGAAGACTCCTGAGAATACCGTGAACAGCCAAGAAAACAAACTAATGGATCATCGAACAAATCAACCCAGAATTCTCACTCCAGGCATACATGATCAGGCTCAAATTATCCTACTTTGGACATATTATGTGAAGACTTAGCTCTCTGGAGAAGGCTCTAATGCTGGGAAAGATGGAAGGAAAGAGGAGAAGAGCATGACCAGCAACAAGATGGATAGACTTAGTTACACTGGTGATGACTGCAGCATTGGAAGACCTGAAAGACCAGGTTAGGGACAGATCATCATGGAAGATATCTATGTGGTCGCTAAGAGTCAGCAATGACTTGATGACACATATCAAGCAAGCAATCAATCAACTAGAATTTTATTCTGGGTACTGTTTGCATCTACATGTGCCTGTGGCCACATGAACAGTTCAGTATCAGGGTTTAAGGATTGTCCACAGGCAGTTGATATTGTTCCATTTCACCAAGCCCAGCTGACAACATTAACTGAGTTTAAAGTAACCTCAGTGTCTTTGGGAAGACCTAGCTATTGACTTTCCATTGGTCAGACTCATTGTATGCAAGCAGATCTTGGTTTGATTTAAATTCGAGTATGCTGAATACAAATATCTGTAATTCACACTTACAGTCTTCAGGCAAAACTTCTTTGAACTGCTCAAAGTAGGAATTCAACCGTACCAAGCTTTCCATGTTAATAATTTCCTGCAAGGAGGTGTCACCAAACCTTGAAAGATTCAAAAGGCTACATTAACATACCTTCCAAACAAAGATGAGAGAACATCTATAAGGTTTCAAAATTTTCATTTCAAGACATTTATTAGTATTTTAACACTTCCCTTAAGCATAGAACAGACATGGTTACTCAGTTTTAAAATAGGCTTTTAAAAAATTGTGATACTAATTTTTTAGTTATTCTATAGTTTTATGAGAACTTTGCCCTAAAATTTGGTACTAAAAATACTTAAGTAGATTAATCAATTTCAAATGTTTGCTCAAATGTCATAGACTCTGCAGGCTTATCAAGAAAAACCATTGGACTGATTGATTTCTAGTAATAACACAAAGGAGCAGGTACTCCATTTCATAGCTTATTTACTGTTTCTTTGACATAAGGAGACCCAAATACAGACCCTTACATGATATTCTGAGAGCCATCACAGCAGTACATTACACAGGCATAATAGATTCTCCTATTTTAGAATTGCCTCAGCTCCTTAAAAGTGGCAAGCACCAGATATTAGGCTCTTTAGGGTTTCTGTTTCAAAGGGCAAAATGAATCTGGCACATGCATGGGAATACTTTAAAGCAGCTGTGATTTTCTGGGGCCACATGGTTGACCTAGCTAATACAGAGTCTTGGCAAAAACACATCTTATTTGTTCTCCACAGGTGTTCCATGGGCATCCATGCATGCTCCAAATCACATTTTGCCTTTTGAATCTGGATCACTGCACAATCCACTAGATACTGTTGTAAACGTCTCAAGGTATCCCATGAGGCCAAGCCTGTAACTAATCTTAAATATAGTATCAGCAGGACATAAAGAATAGAAATCTAAGTAACCACTGAGGTAAGCCTATAACTAATGTGTCCAACAAGTTTTGATGTCACTCAACTTCTTCCTGAGCTATCATTTAAATAATCACTTGGAAATTCATTCAATATATTCCTAGGAGGAGGAAACCAATTCATCGGACTTCAGTTAAACATGAAAGATTAGAAAAGAGAATGTGTATCTATATGTACTTCTCTGCTAAGGTTTGCTGTTCATTGATTCCCACATTGAAGAGTACTGGTTGAACTCTCAGCAACATGCCACTCTGGATTTCACGGGGCAGGGCATCGAACAAAGTGCTTGGCAATGGAATCCTCACATTAAATCCATCCCTAATTTAGACAAGAAAACTGAAGCTTAGCAAGCAATAGGAATATTTTCAGAAAGCCCCCCCTTTTAAAACATTTAAGGCATACAGGTATATTGTCATGTAGGAGGTTGCTAACAATAAATTAAAATCAAAACTCCTAGGCCCTCCCTCTAAGCACCTGCATGCTTGACAGTTTTCAGAAAGCAATGGAAATACAGTATAATTGGAGAATCTAAAGACCTGGCTTGAATGTCACACCAACCCAAGAATCTTAGCTTAACCATGTTGCGCAGGAGCAGCACACTGGTATAAACAACCTATTAATTAGTACTTTGCTCATATATTAACTAAAAAGGTATTATAGTTACATGTGCCCAAACAAGGTAGGTATCACACCAACTTTAAATCTCAACTTAAACCTAGCTTCTAGTTGTCCTTTAATTACTGTAACATGTACTTATTAACTTTTTCTGGCTTAGTTAGCTATTAACACAAAATAGGAGTGAACAGGCTAGATCAGTGATGGCAAACCTTTTGGGTTCGGTGTGTCAAAAATTTGGAAAATGCCTAACTTGATTCTGCTGATATGTCACAACCCCCCAAACAAAAGAGAAACAATTCTTTACATATTCATTTATTTAAAAAAAAAACAGAGTCCAATCATGTGTGGTGCTATTATATAAAGAAATGTCAAATAATTACAAAAATGAAATACAAGTAAAACAAACTTGTTTCTTTGGTAACTCAAACAGGGAAAATAGTTGTTGTCAGGTGTTGGTGAACACTGGCGTGTCACCCAAAACATCATGGCGTGTCACCGTTGACATGCATGTCATAGGTTCGCTATCACTGGGTTAGATCATGCTGGCTGGGAATTCTGGGAGTTGATGTCCAGACCTCTTAAAGTTGCTGAGGCTGACAAATACTAAAATACGTTAGTTCTAAGATTTTGTGTGAGAAGACTACATTTTCCCCCTCAGAATACTGATGAAGAAAGCAAATTTGTTCTCTTCTTGCATTCAGTTCCAATAAATGTTGCATCTATTTCCTTCTACAAATTCTCATCTGAGATGTTCATTCATAATTTAAAAAAATGATAATGTGGCTTGCATTTTTATCTTATGTAGTAAAACAGATGGTCAATTTAGTGTTTACTAAAATTATGTTCTAAAAACTGTCCTATTAGGGAATACATTTGCCCAGTCTTTCCCTTCCCAAACTTCTCTTCTCCATCCCCACTCCAACTTTTTACCGATTTCCTGTAATGACTGGCAGCATATCAGCAGATGCACCGGAAGTGGCCTGAGTTACTTTAAATGTTACATTCCTCAAGTCCATTATTCCCACACTCATATCTTCTAGCATAGCCAGTTCTTCTCCTAAATGAAAAAAATGAAGACAATATTAATATGATTACAAAATATATATTTACATTCAAGAAGCTGTTGCCAACTATTATAAAATAGTTTTCTTCAAATCAAGCTGAAGCCACAGTGACTTCAGGGATATGTCCATATAGTTTTCTTGAAAATAGCAGAAAATTTCTGGGATTCTTTTTACTGTTTCTTAGTTAACTTGTACCTCTAGAATTCCCTAGAGTCTCTATCCAAGTACTAACCAAGCTTGAACCTGCTTAGCTTCTGAACCTGGACAAGGATGGTCTGATCCTCCTACTCACACTTTAGTTGCACATACAGTCCTATAGCGAAAGAGGAACTGGCCTTGCTTCTGGCTTGAACATCACATCCTCATACTAGCCATGATAAAGATGCCAGTGCACTGAATGAAGCTGCTAATATGGAGGAGTTCCTCTGCAGACTAACATAATTGATGTGTAGCTATCAGAGGGTAGGGCTAGAATAAGAATGTAATGGCAACAAGAAGTTCAGAATCATGGATATTTCCACAGGACTGTCTACATGGTTTACATGTAAACCACCTGTTTAGACACACTAATAAGGAAAAGTGTGACCTTAACATATCGCAATATATTTCAAAATGTTCCAGCCATTTTGAAGCAAAATTCTATAAGCTTAATTTTGTAATACAGCAGTACTCAAAGATTTCTGAATGTGTGACCAAGCTGTAGGTTTTAATGAATCCTTAAGTGATCTGAAAATGACAAAACTCTCCATAGAACAACCATGATGCTTTTCTACAAAATTGAATGTGTATTTGCTATTTATGTGAAGCTGAAAAGAGGCTGGGTATTTTGGCAAGACAATAGTCCAAAACATACCTCCAAAATCAACCACGAAGTATACCCAGAAAAGAAAGATAAAGGATTTGGAATGGGCTTCACAGACTCCAGACCTGAATATTATTATTGAAAATCTGTGGGGAGATCTCCAAATGCAGTGCATACAAGATCTAAGACTATTTCTGAACTAAGAGAATTCTGCAAGGAAGAATGGGGAGATTTCCAAAAGCAAGAACTCTTAGCTGGCTACAGAAAATAGGTGGCAGCTCTTATTTCTTCCAGAGGAGGTATTCCAAGCCCTGGCTGAAAGATATCCAAATCTTTGCACCTGCCCTATTCATGGTTTTCTTATTTTGAATCTATAAACAAATCCACATAAATAGAAAGTATA